TCAGAGAAATGCATGGGAAAATATGCATAGTAACTGCTCAACCAAGTCGTTATGATCCCAGAGCTCTTCTTGGTGAGCTGCAGATCTGGACACTTGAGAACACGGTACAGCAACAAAGGTGGAGCAAGAAGTACAATATTAAGAACCCACCAAATTACATTCCAGGTCCACATTCTGTTCACAGGGATAGGATCATGACGCAACTTTACAATAGCGTGTGTTCATATGAGTTGTTTAGTGAAAACTTCGAGATTGATTTGAGCAAGAAGTTGAAGCTGTTTGATTCCAAACCCCGTTGGATGTACAACATGCAATCCTACATCGTTGTGAAATCACTTGTATCTTTAGATGTATATAAAAAGGCTGGCATTGTGCGCAGACCGAAACAGCAAGTAGGCTGGGAATTGAAGAAGTGGAAGTCATGGGAGGATAAGCGTCGTGAGGCAGAGGATATACGGTGCCGTGTCCACAAACACGAGCATGCCTTATTTGTACGTTGGCCAAACTGTTATTAGCCTTCAACCTTGATGAATGTTCCTTATTTTGGAATTTTTGACAACCGCTAACTTGCCACTTTGTAGGGAAACGCAGAAAAAATGGGTAAAATGTATCAGTCTTTGCAGGATAAGCCACATGATGTAGCAGAACGTCTACGCGCAGAACTCAATCAGGTGTTGCAGGACATGCCGGATAGTCCAAGTCAGGTGATTCTCTACAGAAATGGTAGAATCGAGGGTACCACACTTTTCACATTTTAGTTAAAAAGATCCATAATTATCTGACGGCAAGGCATAACAAGATTTTTTTTTTCTTGAGAAAACGCAAAGCTTGCATCTTGATGCCTTGACCGAAAAAATATAGTTACAAGGCCTAAGACTAGGCCAAACAACTGACCACTCAAGACAAGACCACAACTAACAACCACCGGACATACATTACAACCAACACCACAAAACTATTTTAAGCGTGTTGTAACTAGTGCGTTAACAAGTGTTTTGTAATTTTCCAATAGCCAAAGTCCCCCCGGAGGCTTAATTGGGTGGAGCAGAAGCAGGACTATGAGAAGTTGATGGCCCGTTCAGCGAAACTGAAAGAAAGGGCTCAGGTACAGTTTGCTTGCATTTGTTGATTTGCTAGCAAACATTATTTACTACTGTTGTTGAAGTATGTCGAATTTGACAAACTTGACCTTCCTATAGGTCATGAAGCAGGCACATGATAACATCTTGAGTATCATTGCAAGTTTTAAGTCGGATAAGGTGAACTTTTGTGGGTTTAAACTTTTAAATTATCCATGTTTTCTGCAACAACCTGCCAGCTTGTTACTCGTTTCTTTTTTGGCTACTTGTCCCATTTGCCATAATAATGAAGCCAATTAACTTATTTTCAGAAATAAGCAGCTTAACTAGGTTCTCTATTCATATAAATGAATGACTTGCATGTTCTCGAAAGAAATAAATGAATGTCTTGCCCACTAAAATGTGACTATTTTCCACACCAAACGTTATCTTATACAACTGCTTGTATGTTTTACTTTTTGACAGCTGTGCAACTTTGTTTAATTGAAGTTGTCTACTTATTCAACTCACCATGCACTTAATCTAGCGGGTCACATATTTTACATTGTATGGAAATTAATTTATTCACTACGGTTTAAATACATGCAGTCAAAAAACTTCATGTCATGCCTTTTATTTTAAAGAGTATATCCAGCATCCTAAAAAAAGCTATATTCTCTTATTTAATATTGCAAACCCAACATGCATATGTAAGCCTTGTCTAGTACTCACTCCATTTTCTGTAAACGGAGGGAGTAGTTGCCTAGTTCTGTAAATTCCATGTTCTTGCATGCATTTCCAGTTTCATGTTTGCTGGAATACTTTGTACATGATGAGCAATGAGCATAGTCGTGCTAACTAAGCATTGGATTTTTTTTTCGGATTGTGCATCAGTAACTATAATGGATCATCATAAGCATGGAGTGAGTAGCCAAGAAGATCATTGTTACCATCTGTTACAAAATTTCACTTTCATCTGTATTGTTCTGGTTTTGAACTTCTCATCCTGAAATTTAGCAACAATGTGCCCCTTGTTTACTGTTAGAGAAGAACAATGAGGATATACGATAGTATGTCTCTTCTTTTATTGGAATTCTAAATGTTTCGTGTTAGCACATGGGATGAAGTAGCGAACAGTTTCTTGTATTTGATATCCTGATCCATATTCACTTTTGGCAGGGTAAATCTGCTGCTGGCGCTTCTTCTTCCATTGCCCGTCTTGATGAGAAGAAGGAAGAAGAGAACATTTAAAATTGCACTCAGCTATCTGGGGCACTTCTTGTTATTGTCTCTGTTTCATCCTGAGAGATTCTGTAACCTCTGCCAAGGAGGCTCTTGTCCCCTTGGATTGGATGTGCGCAGCTGTTGTTCGTAGTCCGATTTAGCCTCTCGCTCCATCAGTTGCTCGTTGTCATTACATTGCACTTTCAGGTTTCTAGTTTCTATAAATGTTCAGCGCAAAATGCCGCTTGGCCGAGAGATCCAACAGGAACGATGGCCTTGCCTTAAACAGGAATAATGATGTGATTTGCAATGTTTTAAATACTCGGGATTAAGTGTCAGACTTCACGCTGGCTCTCTGCGCTGTAGTTCTCTTATTAGTACTCACGATATGCATCTGATGTTGTGGACTAATCTGCCAAACTGTCTCCAACCAAAGTATGTTTTCCAATGCAAAATGGGCTGTGCTTGTGCATTAGTGTCCTTTGAGTGAGCAGAGGGCGAAAACATTCTGGAACGTCTGAAGGCTAAAAATGCGCCAACCTGGAACGAACACGTATTTTGCTAAGCTTTTTCTTTCTTTTGGGCCGAGAATGCCTAGTTATCGAGTTAATGGTGTTTCCCTTTTGTACTGGGTAAGATGATGCAAACCTGGGACTTGAGAACTTATCATGGCATTCTTCTTAGGTCGCTTAGACTCTTCCTACTATGGTCCAGCTATTGCATCTTTTTAGTCCCGAGTGATTGCTAGCTTCTCCAGCCAGTAAGGCGGTGGTTTATGTATCTGACATCTATCTATCTGCTGTTATGTTCGAACGTCTGAAGACTATTGCCACTATGAACATCTACTGAAGTTTCAGAGAACGTCTCGGCATGCAAAACCAACCTTGTTTGTGCATGAATTACAATTGCCTCCCATACTAATGTTATGCAAGTTTCCAATTTGAGAAACAGTGTCTTTTTTACTGAAGAAAATCATTCAGGGCAATGGAAGCAGTTATGTCATCTTTGCATTATACCATTGCCATGGTCTCGATGAATCACGTGAGAACTCGCTTACAATACGAATGTTGTCCGTTCAGTTATAGGGTGACAGTCGACAAATTTTGGCCATTGGTTTGGTGCAGATAATATGGTTCCTCTGCATAGCTGTCAATCTGATCGTCTCTAGAGTATGCATCACACCTATCATTTTTAGTCGTGAGATCATTTTCTGCTGTTTGAGTTGGAGTTCATATGGACAAAGAGTAATGCAGCATATGGTGGGATCTTGACTTACAGAGGCTGTTTTTTCGCAGTAATTTTGTGTGTGTGCGCTTTTTTTTCTCTAAAAATAGACGCATAATATTGTCTGAGCAGTGGCGGGTACGGTTGGAAGCACACGTTTCAAGTAGGTTCAGGCTAAAAAAAGGAAGCTCGGAGCTTCTGAATTCTCAGCTGAGAAGCTTTCGAGCTATGGCATTCCAATACTGTATCAAATTAAGCTAAAAAAAAAGTAGTGTGTCAAATTTCCACACAAAAAAATCGCAAGTTTTTTGGGGGTTGGAGCTCCTTTTTTTTTTGAGGCATTTTGGGGTTGGAGCTGTCTCTTGTTCCATCGGGAAAGGCCGTTTGGCTGGGCCCTTTGCTTGGTGCTGGGCCGCGCTCGCTTTCGCTTTGCTGGATGGGGGTGCCCGCCCGACCCGACCGCGCGGCAGGTAAAAAACGATCTGTGGTGCGCGAACCGCGAATCCTCAAAATCCCCAATCTCCATTTCCCCGCTCTAACCCTAGCTAGACACAGACCACCCGTGCGGTGCGGTGCGGCTGCGGTTGCGGCGGGAGAGGAGCCTCCGCCGGCGAAGCGAGGTCGCGCGACTCGCGTGCTCGAGGGAGGGGAGAGGAGGCGAGGTGGTCTTTGTGTTCTCGGCGGCGTGCAGGTCGACGCGGTGGCGGTAAGCTCGGACCTCCTTTTTTTTCCGCCCTCACATGGCTGCGCAGAGGTAGAGATTAGAAGTACTAGAAAACATGTCTCGGAATCAACTGGTTCACGGTACCATTATGCTACTCTCTGTTTAGACATCTGCATATCACCGTAGTCACTGGAACTTACAAATGGTGCAGAAATTGCTGTCCACCGTAGCCACTGAAACTTACAAACCGAGCAGAAATAGTTGTCCACAGCCGGTTCTCTTTGTCGCCGATGCAGTTTTGGTTGGTTGGTCCGGATTCGAGCTGTCTTTCCCAATGCCAAATGCACCGTTTGCTTGTTCTGTCCAATGTTTCAGTGTAAACTATTTCTAACCTGCGTGGTTGTTGCGCTCATGCACACATTCTGCTGTGCAGAGAGTCACATTCAGGGCGTGTTGTGGTGGTGTAGTACTCACTTTGTATTTCATCTGCATCTTGATATGTGCACTTGATCATGCCTTTAATTAGTTTTAAACCAGCTTGATTTTTCAACATTTTAGGCATCATATGTATATTGATTTGCTTATGATTATTTAGTCAATGGCCACACAAGGCTCCATATCTGCTACAGGTCCGCTGCGCATTTCCTTATTTATCCATTCTTGGTAGATAAACTTAAAAATCAGTTAAACTTTACCTAGAATTCATGTCACTTGCCAGCATATTACTCTTAGTTTAATCATAATCTTTACACAGTTTGGCCTTTTTCTTATGTCTGTTTGCAGAAGGATTCGGTACCTAGGTTTCTCCGGGAGCCTAGATTTTGCTTACTATGGCTTCTGAGGAAATCAAATCAAAGAAGCAAAGAAATGACGAATGCATTATAAACTGTCTCCCAGAGGACCTCATTGAGCGGATATTTTTGAGGCTTCCAGTGAGCACTTTGTTGAGGTGCGTCAGTGTCTGCAAGCACTGGCACAACTTCATCCGTGATCCACAGTTTGTCGTATCACACCTTCAGTGTGCGCCCCGAGATGTCCTTCTGTTCTTCCAGCAAGAGTCGATCTCAGGCGAGCCCTACCCTAGTGATGCTATCCTAATTGATGAAGCCTGGTCGCCATCGACACGCGCAGTGCCAGTGATTGGGCCTGATGATTTCCTTTTTGGTTCATGCAATGGTCTCCTTGGCTTATACACAAAGACATCAACTATCAAGATAGCTAACCTTGCATCTGGTGAATGTCTACATCTTGAGAAACCCGCAAAGAATGTGAAGGGTGATCACTTCTCTTTCTACAACTTTGGATTTCATCCCGTGACAAAAGAATACAAGATTACACACTTCCTTGGCGATTGTGTTGAGGGTTGCCCCCATAATAAAGACAGGTTCAGCGTCATTCAAGTTTACACGCTTGGTGATGAGAAATGGAAAGATATCCGAACTCCAGAAGCTCTTAGCTTGATCAGTGTAAGAAACTCTGGAGTTGTCAATGTTGATGGCAAAATGTATTGGTTGACTGAAGAAATGTTAGGTAGCTGGCAGCATGCAGTTATGTCCTTTGATCTCTGGGAAGAAAGTTTTGCAATGATTCAACTGCCAGCAGCGTGTGAAGATCATTATTATTTTGGTCCTCGCAAGTTCTGGATCAGAGATATAGATGGGAAAATATGTATAGTAACTGCTCAAACAAGTCGTTATGGTCCCAAAGCTCTTTCTGGTGAGCTGCAGATCTGGACACTCGACAACATGGTAGAGCAACAAAGGTGGAGCCAGAAATACAATATTAAGAACCCACCAAATTACATTCCAGGTCCACATTTTGTTCACAGGGATAGGATCCTCGCACAACTTTGCAGCAATAACGTATATGCGTATGAGTTGTTCGGCGAGAACTTTGATGTTAACCTGTGTAAGGGGGTAAACCTGTTATATTTCAGCCCCCGCAAGCCGTACAACATGCAATCCTACATATGTGTGAAGTCACTTGTACGTTTAGATGTATACAAGAAGGCTGGCATTGTACGTAGACCAAAACAGTGGGAAGGCTGGCAGTTGAAGAAGTGGGAGACATGGAAGCGTAGGCTTAGCAAGTTAGCGGATTTGCAGTGCCGGATGCACAAATTTGAGCACCACTTACTTGTATGTTGGCCAGACTGTTATTATTAGGCCTTGATGAATATTAATTATCATTTTAAGATTTGACAAACTGCTAGTTTGCCATTTTGTAGGAAGTCGCAGAAACAATGGGGAAAAGGTGCCAGTTTTTGAAGGATAAGCAACATAACATAGCAGAACATGTACTCACGGAACTCAAACAGGTGTTGCAGCACAAACCAGATAATCCATATCAGGTAATTTTTTTACTGAAATGATAGCTTGTATGTTACCACACTTTTCACATGTTAGTTCAAAACGTTTATAATTATTTAGGCCAAATGCATGATAATATTTTAAGTGCATTGTAACTACTGTGTTAACAAGTGTCTTGCAAGTGTCCAATAGCTAAGGTCCATCCGGAGGCTTAATTGGGTTGAGTACAGTCAGGCCCAGCAGAAGTTAGAGGTTCGTTTAAGTTAGACGGAAGGCATGACGAAGGTACAGTGTGTTAGTGTGCTCACATTTGTTGATGTACTAACATTATTTACTACTGTTGGTGAAATATGCCACATTTGACAAAGTTGTCCTTCCTATAGGTTGTGCAGCAGGCACAGGATATGTTGGATCAGGTGAATTCGCATTGGTTCTTACTTGACTTCTAAATTATCCATGTTTTCAGCAACAACCTTCCAGTTCTCGTTTCTGTTCTGGCCTGCTGGTCTCATTTGCTGTAGTTACGATGCCTATTAACTTATCTTCAGAAATAAGCAACTTAGCCTACTGTCTATCTATTTTCTTGCATGCATCTCGAGTTTCATTGTTTGATGGAATACTTTGTACATGCTGAGTAGTGAGCATAGTTGTGCACTTGTGCTTGTGCTAATCGAGCACTGAAATATCTTACATTGATGGTGCTTAAGTAACTATAAGAGAGGCATGATAGATTGATCTATTCCATATACCTATGAACAGCAGATTAAGTTACAAGAATGGAGTTCTGAAACAAAGAACTTTGTGAGTAGTAGCCAAGAAGATTATTTTTATCATCCACTACATAATTTTGTTTTAATCTGTATTGTTCTGGTTTTGATATCCTGATCCACGTTTACTTTTGGCAGGATGCGTCAGTTGCTGGCGCCTCTTCCAGTGACGGTCCTGACAAGGAGGAACAAGGGAGCCTTCAGCATTAAACCTGGCTTTCCTGGGGCAATTCTTACTAATTGTCTATGTTCCGTCCTGAGAGATTCTGCAACTTCTACAAGGAGACTCTTGCTCCCTTGGATTGGACGTGCGCAACCATTGTTCGCGGGCCGATTCGTCCTCTTGCTCCATCAGTTGCTTGTCATTGCATTGCACTTCAAGTTTGTGGTTTCTACAAATGTCGAGGGCACAATGCTGCTTGGCCCTTAGAGATCCGACCGGAACATTGCTCCTTACCTCGAACAGAAACAGTGGTTCATTTTATGAATAGATTTTAAGCACTTTGCCATGTTTAAAAATTTGAGACACGCTACCAGACTTCATGCTGGTTTTCTGTGTCATTGCTGATCCAGTTCTCACGGTATACACTTGGCGTCGTGATTTAAACCTTCGCCGTGCTAAGTTTTGATGTCGCCGCCGTACTGTGCTGTCTTGTCCCTCCCTGTTGTTTCCTGTCAATAATCTGACCTTCTGCTCACACCTTCTGTGTGTTCTAGGGCACATGGTCGTCCACCACACAAAACCCTAGCTCGTTCCGTCTTGTCGACTGGATCTGGAAGGAGAACGTGGAAGGCCTGATGAAGTAGAGAGGTAGGGACTCAGAAATTGGGAGGGTTGGAGTAGTAGAAGTGCAGGCGATCAGTAAGCCCTTGTCCGTGAAGCCGGTGCAGCCGAGCAAGCAAAACTACTATAGAGAGAGGCAAATCACGAGCCACGATTGTGTTTTTAAAAGCAGCACTAAAACCTCCGGTAATTGCGACCTCTGATCGACAACATAACATTAAACGATTTTCTGAACGGAATGGACGATGCAGTAGCAATCAAACTGAAAAAAATGGCAAATGCATACCCCAGTCCCTGGCAGCTCCCTAACATTTAGGATCCGCGCCCTGCCATCTGGTGCGGCCATAGCTCTGTTCCACATCTCCTCGTAAGATTTCTAGACAAGCAACATTCCAAGACCTCATCTCAGATATTTCGCTTTTTGCAAAATAAAATAAAATTCACGCCTTAAATGCCTAGCCCAAGAAGATAGTCAGGTTTTCTTTAGAAGCAGTAGACATTCCCAGAAAACATGTTTCGAGAATCAACTAATTCATGGTATCATTATGTTACTGCCTGCTCCGCGTAGTACCCGAAACTCACAAAATGGCAGAAATTGATGTCCGCCGTAGCTGAAACTTATAACTGGTGCCGAAATTGCTGTCCACGGCCGGTTCTCTTTGTCGCTGATGCAGTTTTTTTTGCTGGCTGATCCGGATTCGTGCGCCTTTCCCAACGCCAAATGCACAGTTTGCTTGTTCTGCCCGATGCTTCAGTGTAAGCTATTTCTATGTTGTACGGTTGTTGCGCTGATGCACACATTATGTTGTGCAAAGAGTCGGTCAGGGCATGCTGTGGACCTGTGGTGGTGCACTTGACCCTGCCTTTAGTTTTAAACTAGCTTTATCTTTCAACATTTTAGGAACATACGTATATTGATGTGCTTACGATTATTAGTCAATGGCCATACAAGGCTCCATATTTGCTACAGACCCGCCACTTATTTCTTTCTTTACCCGTTCTCAGTAGATAAACTTAAAACATCTGATAAACTTTACCTAAACTTGATGTCACTTGCCAGCAAATTACTGTTAATCATAATCTTTACAGAGTTTGCCCTATTGTTTTTTGTATGTGTGTTTGCAGAAGGATTCGGTGCCTAGGTCTCCTTGGGAGTCTAGATTTTGCCTGCTATGATTTCTGAGGAAACCAAAGCAAAGAAGCAAAGAAATGAGGAATGCATTATAAACAGTCTCCCAGGAGACCTCATTGAGCGGATATTTTTGAGGCTTTCAGTCAGCACTTTGTTGACGTGCGTTGGTGTCTGCAAGCACTGGCACAACTTCATCTGGGATCCACAATTTGTCGCATCACACCTCCAGTGTGCGCCCCGAGATGCCCTTCCGTTCTTCCCGCAAGAGTCCGCCTCAGGCAGGCCCTACCCTAGTGATGCTATACTGGTTGACGAAGCCTGGTCGCCATCGACATATGCAGTGCCAGTGATTGGGCCTGATGATTTCCTTTTTGGTTCATGCATTGGACTCCTTGGCTTATACACAAAGACATCAACTATCAAGATAGCTAACCTTGCAAATGGTGAATGTCTCCATCTTGAGAAACCTGCGAAGAATGTTAAAGGTGATCACTTCTCTTTCTACAGCTTTGGATTTCATCCCGTGACAAAAGAATACAAGATTACACACTTCCTTGGTGATTGCATTAATGGTCGTCCCCATAATAAAGACAAGTTCAACATCATTCAAGTTTACACGCTTGGTGATGAGAAATGGAAAGATATCCGAACCCCGGAAGCTCTTAGCTTGATCATTGTGAGAAACTCTGGAGTTGTCAATGTCGATGGCAAAATGTATTGGTTAACCGAAGACATGTTATAGCTAGCTGGCAGCATGCAGTTATTTCCTTTGATCTCAGAGAATAAAGTTTTGCAACGATACAACTACCAGCAGCACATGAAGATCATGATCGTTACGGTCCTCGTAAGTTCTGGATCAGAGATATAGATGAGAAAATATGTATAGTAACTGCTCAAACAAGTCGTTATGATCCCGGAACTGCTCTTGGTGAGATGCAGATATGGACACTCGACAAC